TGAAAAAGATGATGACAATATATGTAAAGATGTGTTTGACAAAATGGATATATGTATGGGTTGTGATAAGAGCTGTAAGAGCCCCCAATAAAATAAATAAAAAACAACAAAAAGATGTTGAGAAATAGTAGCTTCACATTTTGATTTGATTTTTTTTCACATTTTGATATCTTTGTTTTATAAAGGTTTCTAAGATTTTGTAGCAATATTTTTTACTTATCCCCCTCTATCTACAAGTACATTCTGTGTTGACATATATTTTTACAGGCATACTTTGATAAAACTCAGCAGAGCAAGTTTGTCTGAGGACAATAACATTTAAACTGAGAAGTGTGGGTATGAAAAGAAGCCAAAAAATAGCTTCCAACAAAAGAACTGTGTGTTAAGGTCCTGAGGTTTGTGGAAGAGATCTGCCCGTTCAGTTTTACTTTTAGTTAACTGTTGTACCTCGAGTGTGGTAGAGTAACAGGAAGTTGGAAAGGCAGGCAAAGTCCAGGCCATGTAATACTTTGGAGCTGTGGATATTAAGTCAGTAGTTGAGACATGTGAAAGATCCTGGTTTTTTAAAAACAGAGACCTGTGCGGTGTTTCTTTGGCTAGACTAGTTGGTAAATATTGCTTAAATTCATTGAGGTGGTTGGGATGGAGTAAGCAGAAGACAATCTTGAGAAAGAAACTTTTTCAAAAAATAGTTTCATCTAACTAAGTATATGTGTTAACCACCAGGGCTAATACACATGCAGAGTCTGATTGCTTTTAAGAAATTTGTTGATAAAACTGGTTGCTGGCAAGTTGTAATACATAGGTCTGGTGACTAATTGGAACCTCCAGCAGGATATTTATAAGGGGCCTTCAAAAAGTTTGTAAGAAAAAGGGAATGAAATGAAAGTGAATTTATCCATGAACTTTTGGGAACTCCCTCGTGTGTTCAGTCTTTTTTTAAAATTTTTTTATTAAGACCAGAAGCCTTGTTTTTTTGTTTGTTTGTTTGTTTTTAAGATCATTTTATAGGGTGCTCTTACAGCTTATGTAACAATCCATAAAGTATTGTATCAGGCATATTTGTACACATGTTGCCATCATCATTTTCTAAACATTTACTTTCTATTTGAGCCCTCGGTATCAGCTCCTCTTTTTGCCTTCTCTCCCCCACCCTCCCACCCTCATGAACTTTTGATAGTTTATAAATTATCATATTTTATCTTTTCCTATCTTACATCAGCCGCTGTCTCTCTTTCCCTCATGGGTTCAGTCTTGAGGCAAAATTCCTTCACTTCTATGGAACCTTAATTACTGTTTTTAAGGTTTTCAATTCATTGGATGAGGCTTACCTGCATTATGGATGGCAACCTACTTAGCTTTAACTGAGTGCAGATGTTAATCACATCCAAAAAATACCTTTACCTCAACATCTAAACTAGTATTTTACCAAACAACTGGCCTGGCCTGTAGGTGCACCCGAGTGGGCTTCCAAGAGTTTATAGAAAAATTCCATTATCTTTCCATCCAATTTTTCCATGAACTTTTGGAAGCCTCCTGTAAAAGTAACCATCACAGTACATATCACATTTTTCAACTAATAACTTCTCTCTTTATTTCAGTGCTCTCCTTTTTAATGAAGTAAAATATATTGCTACTCTGGAAGACCTCCAGAACATAGAAAATGCTCTGAAAGGAAAAGCAAATATTGTATTTGCATATGTAAAAGCCATCGGAACATCAGGTATTTATTAACTTTAACTCTCTAGTTATGTGTAACTGATGTGCATAAAATAGGTCATTTTGACAAAAGTAGTAAATCCTGCAAAAGCTGGAGCCTGTCTGTGTAAGACAGAGACCTGTCAGAGAAAGCTAAAATATTTTCTGCTAACAGAATAATAGAAAGTACATTGGAATGCACCCTGTCAAAGGTAGAAAACTTTCGAGACTCAAAAAACAGGACTGTCCTGTTGAGTAATAACTCTTACAGGTTTCTCTGTGCTTTAAGTGATATTTTAAGCAGTTCTGTTCTTTTTCTCTGTAAGCAGACAGCATAGTTAGGTGATTGAACTAGAACTTGAGTCACAGTGTGTGGGTGTGACTCTTGTTTCCACC